AGGGGGTGGGGGGGGGGACCGGGGGGGGGGGGGGGGGAGAGTATTTTTTGGGGAGTGCTCCCCCGCCCTCCGTAGATACGCCACTACACTAGGAAGTCAAATCTGTACCACCAAAAATTATCTCGCACCTCGTTCCGCTTAGTCACTTCCTTCGTCTTTGGCCCTAAAAACTCCTTGCCTTAGCTATACAATAGACCTTTCCGGAGTGTCAATCAAACTTAACAACTGACTAATCAGAACAGCGCTAGGAATACGCGCACCTCTTACAAACACACGTGTTGTCCAAAAACGCACGTGTTCGCGTATGTTTTAACACTGTCGCCTTTGATGAGTCTTTAAATGAATTCTTCTCTATGTATACAGATTAAGGAGCATTTGTGACAAATTCGAACCAAAATATTTTGAGTTTAAAATTTTGAGAAACAATACATTGTCTCAAAAATGTAATATCTTAAGCCATATGATAGGCCTTCAGTTAAACTTATGAACTATAATTATAAACATGCCTACATGATTGTGCAAACTCTTCGTCAAACAATGGATATGTAACTAAACACAGAAAGGTCACTATTAAATTTAAATGGAATCTCCGATGAACGGGGTGGTGAAGGTGAGAACTTTATACAATGACAGAAAAGGAAAATAGTTGTGTAATGACGCTGAAAAAAAGTAAAACCTATGGAAACTTGTGTAGTTGAGAGGTCGGTCTTACTAATAAATATAATCTGAAAAATGAAAAAATGATGGGAATACTTAAACTACAAACATAATCGACGGATGAGTGACGGAAACGGAAATTTGCTGTGGAACGAAGCAGAAAAAAACCCTGATTTAAAGGAAGTAATCGGAATCCTATAATGAAGTGTTATTTATTAAATAAACAACTGATTAACCAGTGCTTTACTTATTTACCAGACAACCACTACATTGTTTCAATACGTCTGATGGTACCCTATATTCAATTTTCACCCGGTTTCATCTGACCATCTGACGGGTAACTTAAGGAGAAACTCCTCCAGAAAATGAGTAACCTATACTAGGCTACACTGTAAAACATAATTGACTATACTGTAATTATATTGTAAAACACCACTATGAACTGTTGAAAACATACCTGTAACCAACGATATCTTGCTTGGTATGAAAGTTGGAAATACATTGGTAAGATAGTCTACTTTTACCCCTTGTGCTGCCATTTCGTCCATGTTAGGTGTATATACACTATCGATATAATCATATCTTAATCCATCAAGTAATATGAAAATCAACCTTTGCTCCAAGTTCCCACTTGCTGCCCCAAGCTCCAAAAATAAAACAGAAAGACAAAGAACACGTAGAACTTCCATCCCGGGCAAGTTGTTGGAGAATATTATCCAGGCAAGAAAAGTACTGGAAGAGATGCAATCGTTTTTGAGGAAGCTTCTTAATTGGCTGACTGACTTCTTACACACGAACGCTCTAATTGGTTGAGCTCGACAAAGCGTGGCCAACATGTCCAATGACAAAGGAATATTAAGCATAAAATAAAAATACAGTATAATATTAAAATGTATGACATGATATTATATAAGGGCATTTTGTTTCATAAAATAAAAAATTAGTTTATTAGATTTAAGCTGATGAACAAAATTCGAGGGAAAAAAACGAAACTATCCCTAATGTAAAAAAAAAAAATATGTAATTGACATAGCGGAGCCTTTGTTAGCAGAATAGCCTTGGTTAAAAAACACAATTACATATACTGTACTATAATTGATAATTAATAAATTTGATATACACCATGTACATCGGTGGCCCTCAACAGGTGGCAGGTTGTACTACCGCATTGTATCTCAACTAGGAAAATTCACAGGCCTATTGTATCTTAACTATTGAAATACACATTTAACAACACAGAGTAATAAAACGAACGCAGGGTTTTCTTTATGTTTTTAATCAAAACAGACAGTATATCTTGAAGTATATTTTGTTTTTCTATATTAAAAAATGAATATATACATATATATATATATACAGAAGAAAACAAAATAATTATACGAAGATATATAAACATAGTCAGTAAAAATCATCTTAATAATTCAACGTTATTTGTTTAGTTGAATTCATTATAATCTAAGAGTGATAAGACACTCACATGATATATGCCTCATGCTCTATATAAACTGACAATAATAATAATGGTCATTTATATAGCACATTTCCTAATGATACAGAGCATTTGTGTCATGCATATGAAAATCTCTTAATGAGTGGATAATCGTTAAACCAGAAAAGAATACAGATTGTATCATAGTTTTTTTAAATTAATAATTATTAATAACAATAATGTGTTAAATGCTTGCGGTACACCACATAGATAGTTCTGAAAGGAAATGTTGTTTTGCTTAGAATGTGTTGACGTTTTTAACAATCGTCATCAGGAGAATATATGTGGCAAAGACAAGCCAAACCAGTCACTGGTCACAAAGTTAGTTATTACTACATGGTTAAACAGTAGAATGAGAGCTATAAAATGGCCAAAGAATCATTAAAGTCTGACATTTCCTTACGAAGTTACAAGTGTTGAAACATACAGGTGTTTAAAGAACAAAGTTTGAGAAATCAGCCTTCAAAGTTTACAGTTTTGGCCATTTCTCAGGCAGAAACCATCACCAAATTGTTAAAAATTGATGTTTTAAACATTGAAAAGGAAGAAAATAACAGCACAGCTTGATGTATAGATTTATAAAGTTTAGTTTAGTGCAATAAAATAGATTTTTAAAAATTTTTACATTCTAGCATGTTTTGGTCATCTGAGATAGAATTTGTGAAGAATGACTGGTTTGGCTTGTCTTTGCCACATATAAAAATAAGAAAAAACCAATTAGATCAATTAATCTTGCTTTATGAGGTTTTCGGAAATGACAATGTCTGTATTCCCAATTTGAAAAAATGATTTTGACAGGATTTGAACCCAGTACTTTGGGATTTGAAGGTGGGCATCTTAACTGCCATGTCGTAGCTCAATGAAAGTTTTGTCAGTAGCATAATGGTTGTATTCAGATTCATTTTTCATCATTTGATTTCAAGTTATTGCTGGTAATTCTCGAGCATAGTTTGTCCATAATGTACTCAGACATTTTGCTTCCTGTTAAAACAAATGGAGAATAACAACTCAAATCAATTCATATCAATATTAAAAACGAATTCTTTGCAAACAGTAAAATAAATGTAATGCTATAGTATTCTATGACATCCATGTTTTGTTTCTTGCATGAAAAATATAGATATTTATGATCATCACCATCATCATCAGGGGCGGATCCAGAGATGTCCGAAAGTGGGAGCCGATCGAGACACAACACTAGAGGCCCGGAAATAACCTCTGAGGCGTTTTGGGCGATCAATTTTTTTTTGTTTCTTTTTTTCTTGACTTTCCAAAAGAGGGGGGGGGGGGGCTAGGGCCGGCTTGCTCCAAACTTAAATCCGCCCCTGATCATCATGGTTACATGCTTTCTATTGCTGTCAACTCACCTTTATCTCACATTTGCGGCGAATGCTCTCCAGCGTGAGTGGCAATGGAGACTCAATTTCTTGCCGTCTAGATTCCTTGGATATACTCTTCTCCCTAAGTATGCAACAAAGGACGAAATCGTAATTGCATTTTTTATAACATTAAACAGATCCAACAATACAAACAACTTTCAATGGCACAATATTTCAAACAACAAAAGTCTTACAGATGATTCAGATAATCATTTAATTCTCACCATGCACAATAACATGTTGTGTCGCCATTTTAATACCTTACCTGGCCGACCCAAAACATAATTTTAAATTGTCATTATGATTGTTCAACATACAATTTCTTTTTTTTCTTGCCTTATGTAGATATATTGATAAGACAATAAAATATTTAAAAGGAGGCCTAATTTGCAAGCTATCAAAATGAAATTTTTAAATTCAAAAGCAGTCAATCTATATTTGTACTACAGATTACTATAACTTGATTGAAATAGAGCAATTGAGTAAATTCAAGTGATGTAATATCCCACCTGTCTGTTTCTGTTACATGATACGATTCCCTAGAGCTAATTGAACTTCTACTACTACTCCCTCTGCTGGAGGGCATGGTCTGAGTCTGCATCGCATCTCGTTCTTCACTCTCAGGCCGCTCGTCAATAACTTCATTTAAAAATTGTGTTGTTTTGCGTCGGTTTTGAAAGACAACTGCTGGCACCACAGTAGGAAGGAAGGGTGTTTGTGATTCTACTGGAACTTCCATATCTTTAACAGCACCTGTCTGTATTGGAAACAAATAAATTATAATGGGAAGATGGAGTTAAATTTACAGTATAACTGTCTATAAAGAATTAATCAATTAATGTCTATAAAGAAACACAAATTTTAAATCTTGAATACTAATGTGGTATAGAAGAGCTCTTGATTTATTTAAATGAGGATTTGGATGTTTAATATCAAGCGGCATAAGGCAGAGCTGATATTAAATATGAAAAAACTCAATATATGGAATTAAAAGAAGAATAAAAAAAAATGTTATTATTATTTATTATTCCCGATTAAATTATTGATTGTCTATGTACTTAATGATTTTTTTTTTCATTTGATTGTATTTGATTGTATGTGTTGCTGTGCTCTGGATTATAACAATGATTTTGCACTTATCAGGTCACCCAGGGTAAAGAAGAAATAAATAAAAGATTATATAAAAAAAATAGCTGAAATGTTACATACCACATCACCAATGTCTGGTCCTTCAAGTCTGGCCATAAAATCTGGATGATCAAGTAAAATTCTGGAGAGGAATAAAAAACTAAGTATATAAGACGATTAAATTATTAAATGACTAGGAATTTGACTGGGCCCTGGGGACTTTGTGGCAGCCACAATGTACTCAAAATGGACATTAATAATTGTCACAAAGACGTACCTGCTTGTTGCAGCCTGGTGTGTTATTGACATCTCATGCATATTCATAACTGCCTTTCTTTTATGGTTTCGTACTTGTGCTCGAGCATTAAACTCCTCCCTCATCCGGACAATTTCTGGATCTTCTTTTGGTGGCTCTAAATTCATGTCTAACATGTGAAGATGTGGTAACTCAGTCTGAAATTTAATATACAGTATGTGAAGAATTGATGGAACCATTTATGATTTACTTAATACATTTATCTATTCTGTATCTCTTCCAATATGGTACATGAATGGGGTCTTATGTTTATACTTGGGAGGATGCAAAGGAAGTGCAGACGGCGCTATTGCACCCACCTCCCCACCCCTAAATTGTATTAAGAACAATAATTGTTGTATTGTACTGTTGATATGAATTACCAGTAAGATTTTTAAGGTATGAGAGTGCAATTTCTTGGCATCTAGAGGTCCATATTCTAAAAATGTTGGCGCCTCAGCCCCAACTATAATGGGTCTGAAGTGGTATGGACTCTCACGCACCCTCTACCACCTAATCCTGCATCCCCACTCCCCCCTGTTATAGGAAATCACCAAGAAATAACAAGCTGTATAATGCAATGAATAAATATTAACAAAAAAAACCTGATTACAAATCAAAAAACAATCTAACGTCATCCATTCTTGAACCCCCAAACATAAATAATAATAGATGCTATTTTTTTGAAAGCATATTTATAGACGATAATAAATTAAATAAAGTGATGCTTTATCAGGGAATCTCATTATGAGTCTTAGGAATGGAGATGTTTTTATTTGTGAGAAAAATTCCAGGGCTGTCAGAGGATTTGAACCCAGGACCCTGGGATTGGAAGGCGAGCACCAAGCTACATCTCCACTGCTATATACTTCGGATTTATATTTTTGTGGGAACACAACTTTGACAGAGCCATAATTTACATCATTCCTTGAATTAGATTATAATTATGGTTGTTATGATTCAGAAATTCGTAGATGATGGTTTGTGCTACAGCCACTGGGCAAAAATTATTTAAATTCAGATGATGGATTTTGGCAATATTTTATGAATATAAATGATACTCATAAAACAAAGTACTTATAGTATAATATAAGAGATAGTTTACCATACCTTTGGGTATTTCTGATCAAGTTCCAAGGCCAATGGGTGTACCTCTTGCCTCCTTCCTTTAATTGGAACAGATAGAAAAGATGCTGATGACTTCAGCTGATAGAAAATAAAATGAAGATAATTATTAAAATATTGATTACTGTCATTGCTAGAATGTTAGTTATTAACAAATATAACACTGTAATTGGTTGAATTTAATGTAAGTAGGTCTCCCTCTAAATAAAACCTGTCCAATTAAAGACATATCAAATCAAAAACCACTTTTCTGTGACACCAGATGAATAACTATTCTTTTTCTTTATACAGTACAGTATGATAAATATTTTTCTAATTAAGATCAAAGCTGCTAAAAATTATGAATTATGAAGAGTCCCAAAAGTAGTGTTTAGTTGCAGGCAGACATGTAGTTTAAATTCAACAATTATACAAATATTCATTTTCAATAAAGTCTAACCACTTTCTGTTTGCTTCTAACCTTTTGCAGTTGTGTTACTGCCCAATATGAGGGTTTTCGTTTAGCACTTCGTGATTTTGGGTTTTCCGTGTCCTCTCTGATAAGTGACAACTCTCTTGCTATTTGCGGTTGATGATCAATAGTGTTTACTGAGGTTAATGACGATGTACGACTTCCAAAGTGAAGCGAGCCTTCTAATATGAGACACAAAAAATTGTAATTCAAATTTCCAGTATGTTTTATTTAGCATGAAAATAATATAAATCCGGCTTTAATTAACATTTTTAAAGGTTTTCCTGATTTTAAAATTTGTAATATCCATTATTATTTTGTCTGGACAATAACCATTGTCAATTGTTGATTCATTTGGCTGTGGAACTGGCGACCAGAAGATTTCTCAAAACACCACGATCCATGGCAAAGGTGACAATTTTATCTGGCTGTAGCATGCTTTCAGTGTCACATAATAGTCTGTGTACATAGGATAGGTATGATGTCTTTTGCCTAGCATGCCATTGCTTTCCATATGGATGCATTGCCAGATTTAACATAGGGGTTTTTGGGGTGCCAGCCCCAAGTGCACAGGCACCAATGGGGAAAAATAGGTCCCCAAACCCCAAGAAAAATCACAGAAAATCTGGTTTTATGTTTTAGCCACATGGATTGAGTATGTAGGCCTACTTGCAATTACAACGCTAGGTTCCGCAGCCCTTTTATCCGGCCCTGTGTGGACAGTGCATCAACTTGGTTCTTCTTCTGACATCCTGAGGAGATGTGTATTACTGACATCCTGAGGAGATGTGTATTACAAGTGTAATTGTTGTGACCTCCCAAGAGGCTTCATGTTGGTAAGTACATAAGTCTTGGCATTGCCGACTCATTGCCGACTCGGTCGACACCGAATTAATAATTAGTTAAGTTATTTTATAAATACATTTATGGAATTTGTAAAGTAATGGACAGCATCTAATATGGATTTAGCCCCAGTCTATTTTGAAATATAAAATAATTCATCTTCTTATGTACACTTCTTAACTTACTTGAGAAATTATGTGACGATCCATCGTCTTGTAGATGCTTATTATTTTCATCTTCTACAAACATTTCTCTATATTTTTCCGGTTGCATAATGTCTTCCCAGAAATTCTCATAATCTTGGATTGTCCGTAATTTTCCCTCTTTTTGCATTTGCTCTTCAAGTTTAATTACCTGTTCAAATAAAATCAAATCCAGAGCCTGTAAATTAAAATCAAATTGATAGCACATTTCGAAGGTTTGGTATTATCCTAGAGAGGCCCAGTCACACAAAATAAAAGAAAAAGAAAACAAATGATTTTCATGCTAATTGGTTGACTGATAGTTCATTTCATTTTATTTATTATTTCCAGGTGATATAACATACAGAAAATTAATAAAACAAGCCTGAGGATAACCTAAAGTAAACTGAATTACTATCGAGGGGCTCTTCTTACAAAAACATGACAATAAACATACATATAAATATATATGGATGAGCAAGATTTTCTCATCAGTATTCTTGATATTGATCAAATTGATCAAAACATTGAATCTCAAAATGTCTGTCTCTTTTTGCATTTACTGTCTTTTTGTTATATATAAATATATAGCAAGCTAAAGCAAAAATATGATAAAATACAGTGTAACTTTATAATAAACAAATACTCACAATAAAAAGGATGCCGCAAAAGATAAATATGGACAATAACTTACATTATACCAATGACTTTTAAACAGATCTTTAATGAAAGTATCATGCTCTGATGGTAGGTCAACAGCTCTATCATATTTCCTTCTGGCAAGTTGTGTTTCTTTCTGAAAATGAGGAATAGTTTTTAAAGTATCAAATACATGGACTTAATGGTAAATTTTATGTAATAAAACTCAAAAAGGGAATCTTAAATCTTTACATTTCAACCAGTAATCTATCAGAACCCCTACAACACCCTACAATACCAAAGCTCTGCCACTTGGTACTAGGCAATCCCCCCCCCCACCCCCTCAATACCTAAGTTACCGTACTCCATTTCTGCAAACCCACCATCCCCCCTAATGACAATCCTGGCTACGGCCCTAGGCAAAAAGAATTTGCAAATTAGATGTACTGAAGGAGTTTGTAATAAATATACCTGTTCTACTTCTTTTTGTTTCAGCTTTCTTTCCATTCGTTCAGTTCTTTTTTTAATTTCCTTCCTCTGTTTCTCAACTTTTTCTGTCAGCGCTGATAAATATTCAAGGTAGTAATGATTCCTCAGCTTAGTTAAATCGTCCAACACTCGCATATGTTTCTAAAATCATACACAATTCAGAATTATGTCAAAATAATGTATATGAGGTGAAAACAGGCTGTGCTTCTAAATTGTTAGTGCTTTGAGCTGTTTCAAATTGTGATGTTTATTTCCATATGACACTAAAGTAATACATTTATTCTCAATTCTCAATGAGCAAAGAATTTTTCAAAGAACTTGTTATAGTATACACAGATATACCGTAAATGCTTGAATAAGCGGTGCTCTTGAATAAGCGACGCTCTAGAATAAGAACCGCACCAAACCTGATTTTTTTTGCTAAGCGCTGATCTCGAATAAGCACTGAAATGCTTAATCAAGTGTATATATTACTCTGTGTGTAATAAAACACTTTGAGAAACAGGGTTTTAAATACAATGTATACAGTATTAAAATTAAAAAATAACACAATGAAAACACAAGCATTTCTTTGTTTATTTTACAATGACGTAGGACCTATGATAGGCCTACTAACAGGAATATGTGAGATAGGTAACAGGGAACGGGCATAAAAAGTGCCATGCCAATATTTTTTATAAACGCCACTCTCGAATAAGCACCGCTCTTGAATAAGCGCTGCACTGAAGCCTCCAAAAATGTTATAAGTGCCGCGGCCCTTATTTGAGCATTTACGGTACGCGATATGTGCTTCAATACTGATTGGTGTGAACAAATTCTATTTTTAAACTAAGTATTACAGTCGTTGTGGTTGGGTTATAGGTGAGCAACATTCACAAATGCGTATTTACCAACAAATCAACAATTTACAGCGGAGTGCAATTGTATATATCTATCGAGTGGAGTTGAACAGTTTGGTGGTTGAGATGCTTGCCCCAGGGTCTACTAGCTAAGGGTCATTATGAGATTATTATTGCTATGAAATAAAAAAATTATTAATTTATGAAATTAAAAAAATCTATAAATAAAATGAGCTGAGAAACAAACTCCAAAAAGAGTGATGTACCTCTGATTTCATCATTATTCAATATTTTTAACATTTTTTTTTTTTTGGTATAACGATGATATGATTGACATTTCAATTAGTGGTGCTTGAGGGGGCTCTTTATAGGGAAGTATTGTAGTATCAGTCTCCATGACACCTTATGTATTCATGACCCTTGGAGGTTATAAACTTTGGCCAAATATAAAAATGATGTGACATACAGTACAAAACACACACAAAGGGTCAATACACAGACTGAATTATTAGAAAGTTACAAGTATATATCTACATTAATATGAACAATCTGAAATGGTCAACAGACAAAACTAAACATGTTTGAATACAGTGCACAGCCATCTTACCAAAAGCAATGTTTTTAGCTTAGAATATGCCTCCTTATACGTTTCACTGTTGACAAAGCACTAAGCAGCAGAAATTTACAAACATGAGAAAATTAAAAAGAATTTAGAACTTTGCATGAAATGTTAGAAAATCAATAGTGGTTAAAAGCATTCACATCATTTACAAGAGATATGAAAAAATAAGACATGCATAGCACATAGTAGTTAATTTAAATTTTGAAGCAATTAAATTAATAGATTTTAGAGGAGTCATAAGATATGAAAATCAGCAACTGTATTGTATAATATATTGTAATTTCTTCTACCTTACTCCTCCCTGGATATATAGCTACTAGGGAATAATAAGAATGAGTTGAGCTAGGCTTGTTTAGGATCAGACACAGGACTACCAGTTTTCAGATACATTTTTAATCAATGTTAAGCACAGATATGTAGAGTAATGAGATATAATCATTTCCTTTTGGTAATATGTTGGTACCCACCTCTTGCATTTCCTGCAGACGTTTCTTCTCGTTCTCCTCTTCTTCCAATGGATTAAAACTTTGACTAATTTGCTGTTTTCCTTTTGTTTTCTTCTTTTTCACTTGCTTGCCACTCTGTGCAGGAAATTCAAAGATGATAAAATATATCTCATGGTAAATTATCATTTGATTATTATAAAATATTTCTTGTTCCTAAATATAAAAAAAAACAAAAACATAGGGCCTATTGACTCAGGGAATGTTTGAATTACACATCGATTTACTACCTTTAAAGAAAGTGTAACACTCTGTTCTTCTGGCGTTTTTCCTTGTTCTCCTTTTAAAACATTTTGCTTTAGGAACCTGGATCTTATTGTTCCATAAGATTCAGTTGAATCTGGTCTAGGCCTAAAATTCGACATTCGTTGTTTCTGAATGGCTGAGGGATTTTCAAAATGTGCTTCCATCTGGTTTGGTTCATCAATACTAAAAGAAAAAAAATATTGTATGTATTGTTATCAGCAACTGAGAAACTGCCAAAAAATCAAATTATTAGGGAGAATGAGATAAACATGACAATTTTAATAATATGTGCATCCAAATAATTATATTTTATATTTAAAAAGCTAGCAGGAAGGATGAAAAGCCAGAGCTATCGTATCAAGAAAACAGTGTGTCTGAGTGAATAATAATTGGCCTTATCTCTGTTTGCTCTGCTGTTACACATGTTACATCTAGCCTACCTATAATAGTACTAGCCTAGACTATTTTGAGTAGTAAGTTAATTATATAGGCCTAGGCCTGTCTGTAGGCCCTGGCCCCACCATGGGGCTACCTAGCCTAGCCCTCTAGGCTTAGTTTGTACAGTAATTTTAAGTAATAGTATATGCTGACTCACGTTTAATGTATTTAAGGTTACCACTAGTCCCTACTAACACTCATTTACCAATTAACCTTAAAAATATACTAATAAAACTTAAAAGCGTTGTTTGTTATGTTGTTTACTGGTACCAGTGGTAACTAAAGATTGTATAGCGCCGCTAAGATCTTGCCAGATTAGCTTATTATGTACAGACGTTTTTGTAGTTAAACTATTTGTACTTCCAACGACTGGATGTAACCTCTAACCATTACATGTCTGGCAAACAACATGGCGAGTTCAGAGTGGGAAGAAGTAAAACGTCTTGCAGCAGATTTTCAAAGAGCACAGCTTAGTAGCACAGCTGCGAAGTATGATCATTAATTTATTCACTATATCCATAGGAAGCTAACTAATTTCTTAGTACAAATTCTTCATTAAGATTTTAAGTTTGAGAAAATCCATGTTTCTATATAGCTAGACCCTAGCTAGCGGCCTCAGAGTCAGACTGAGTCCTTGCGCGGGTCTGGAGCGGAGTCGTAGGCCTCCTACTCCTAGTTGATGTAGCATCCTTGCTACTTGTCGTTTTTACTCTCCTCCTCGGCCTAGGTGAACGTCGAGCCTTTGTACTAACAACATACCTATCAACCTTGAGAAATTTCAGAGAGTAACATCGGGTGACATATAATGCCAAACAGAGGCACGAAGTGTGTGCAATGGAGGTAGAAAATTATGATGATGGACGATATTTATAGTAAAATTCATTACAAATTGAAAAAGAAACAAAATTTAATCAAATTTTAGGATAAGCGTAAATTTTACTCTATATGCCATATTTGTTATTATATTTATTGTTTTTATTATTTTTTATTAAATCAATTCTTACGGTGAATATGTGTGGCAATCCTTGTTTCCCTTATTCTTTCTTTTATTCCTTTATTTTCGTCGTGGTTGTTTTTCCTTTTGCATAATTTCTGATGTTTTTTTGATTTTCACTTTTGTATTTTTGCATATGTGAGAGGTTTATTAAATAAAAAATTAAATGGCAGCGTTCATATAACTAGTAGAAAGAGTAAAACTAAGCAAGGACTGTCTATATTGGCGTATTACCCTTCAACTTGCATAATAATAATATGGTATAATAATCATCGGTTAGCCTTATGGAATAAATAAACATATACAATAACTAGGCTAGGTTTACACACCTTAATTTTGAATGGAGTAACCTGATAATAGGAGCTTGAGCCTAATAATAAAAAACTTGTTAAAGTTAGAATTCTCGCTCTTACTCTCAAACTTTCAACTACATAGCAATACAGTAACCAATAATTTCTATGCTCAGGTTAATTTGTATGTTGCTGCAAAATGAGTGTGTTAATTTCAAAAATATTTTGTATGATTATTTTGGGCATTTTAAGTGGACATTACGTGTATTTCAATACTTGGAGTATTTATTATACTTTCTTATCTGATATTAATCAGTGGACCTTTCGGTTACATCTTTAAGGTTAGGGTCAATAAAGCTCCACCAATCAACACCTTGGATTTATGTAAAATCGTCAGAACAATATCTACTAATAGTATTCTAGAGCCTGAAATTCATAGATTAATGATACTTTATCCTTACAGACTCTGAATTGAAACATTTGTTTTGCAGGTTGTCTGAAAGAAACTGCATTGAAATTGTTACCAAACTTATTGAAAGCAAATCTCTAGATGTTATTTATACAAACGATGGGAAAGAATATCTGACTCCATCACAGCTATCAAAGGAAATAAGTGATGAATTAATTGTTCATGGTGGTAAGCAAACATTTACTTTATAATGTCAAAGAGTACTACAATCAAAATATATAATTTAGGGCAAATAAACAATAAAACGAAGAAATTAGAATATCATTGTATAAGGAATACATATCTGTGTAGGGCATAACCCTAAATATGGCTGTGTTTGGTGGCCACTTTCAGTGGCAGATTCAAGAGTGTGGGGCCCCATGCTCCCTCCCTCATGAATTTTTAAAAAATGGAGAAAAAAAAAGAAGAAATTATATACAATTAATTTCAATAATCAATTTCAATTTTCAGTTTATTTCATTTGCAAATAAATCAACAAGTGACGTGACCAAAAATGCAAAGCTTGTAAATGTGGCACACAGTCATACAAATAATAGCAAATAGCAAAAGTACAAAAATCATAAATTTTCTTGCCTCAGCTGGACCCCCCCCCCCCCATCTGTGAAAAACCCTTCCTGGGCCCCTCTATTTCAAATTCCTGGATCTGCCACTGATCTTAAACAAAAAGCTTGAACTTTTGACCTTTATGAGTATACGTGGACATTTAAATCAAATGCATTTGAAAAGTTTATTTCAGTGTAATATTTTTTTTATTATTACTAGTACAAGTTATAATATTAATGTATAAAAAGGACATTAATTCGACAAGTGTTTTAGCATCGTTATATATTTAAATATTTTTTATTCTTCTTTTTCAGGAAGAATAAACCTTGTTGATCTGCAACAGGTAAAATTTCTCTCAATAAATTGTGTTTTTAAAATATCATCAGAAAGTTCGGGACCGAGCATTGGTCATTAGAAGATTATAACTTCTTTGATTCTTAAAGATTTTTGTACTTAATATTCAATAATTATAATATATAATTGTAGATCATTAAAAAAAATACAATTAAAATAGAAATATGATATTTAGATACCATTATATTTTATTATTTAAAATTTTTTTTTAACTACTTTTCAGATTATCAATGTGGACCTCACCCACGTGGAACTTAAAGCAAATGAACTGGTGAAAAATGACCGCAATCTTAACCTCATTCTAGGGCAGCTCGTTAACACGTAAGTATTTGTAAAATAATGTAAAACTCCTCCTTTGGGACACCCCTATTAAGTGGACACATTTTCGGCCACAAAATGAGGAAGGTATACCTGATAACACTACAGCCAACTCTTAAGGGTATACTTTTTGGTCCCAAAGTGTCTCTTTAGTAGGGGTTCTATTTGTTTGTTATATTAATTCAAGTTTACATTGGCAAAATATACGTAATCATAACTACGGTTATTGTCCTACAGAGAGTACCTTGAGAGATTAGCTGAGGAAATCAATGATTTACTTCAGGAAAGTGGACAGGTCTCAATTGCGGAACTTGCCAAGACTTATGATTTACCTGGAGAATACCTAACAGAGGTAATATATGGCAATTCTTTGATAAGATATAAAGGCATACTAACGTCATTTTGCTAGTATATTGTCAAGGTAGAACCATTTTCCATTTGAATCATATTTATTAATTGTTAATTGAATCAGTTGGGGATTAATGATTTTTTTTTAATGCAGCTAGTGGAAAGCGAGCTGGGTCGTAGGATTAATGGACAAATGGATGCTTACGACCGAGGTGTTGTCTTCACTTCCGCATTTGTTGCCAAACACAGTTCTCAGATATGTGGTGTCTTTAGCGCTGTTACAAGGTAAACCTTAGCATTATCTCACATTAATGACATCTCGTGCTGTAGCTTCATTATTTTTTTTATTCCTCCTCCCACCCCAAAAAAAAAAAAAAATAAAAACACACAAAAAAACTTAATATTATTGTTTTTCTTAGTTGGTAAAAAACATTTTGCAGAATTCTATGTTATATTTCTACTAATTGCGATTGTCTTAGCTTGTTAGAAGCGTAACTGATCAGTAACTGCTTCACAAATATCTTTGTCACTGTCCACACCCCTTCACCCCATCCCACACATCCTGCAACCTATAGACATTTGGAATATTGATTGACAGTCAGACAACTTGTGTGAAAAACTTTTAGTTGTGTGTTTATTTTCCTTCCAGGCCAGTTCAAGTTCATAATGTACTCACTGAATTTGGTTTTCAAGAGAAATTATTTTATAGTAAGTTCAAGTAATTATTGAAAGTGAATGGTTGAAGGGAAAACAATATTGGATATCTTACATTATGCACCTTTAATAGTAAAGATCTACAAAACATACATATATATATATCACCTACAGAATTTAAGCTGTTCAAGATTTCTCTAAATTGTTATAATTAAACCATTTCACTCACTGGATTAACAAACTTTTGGAGCTACAGTGTGTTTAATTGCTTTTGTTAATTCTTTCCTCCTTAGATTTACACAGTTTTTCTGTGTAATTTCAGTTTTTGGTTATTTTTTTTTGTACCTATTATTTTTTGTTGTTTTATGAATTACTGTACAAGATAAAGAATAAATGAATGAATGGAAAAGTTTCATATATTATGTTCTGGGATGGTAAACAAATTATTTTTCTTTTATTCATACTAATATTCAGACGAATTTCTTAATTATAATAGTATGATTTGAATAATGAGAAGATGAATTAATTTTACTCCTCGTTACATAATTTAGCTGTTTTAAATGAGTTGATAAAAAAGGGCCGGCTCCGAGGTTCCTTTGTTGGCGGCAAACAAGACAAGGCAACTTACGTTCCTGATATGTATTCCAAGACACAGAATAACTGGATCGATGCATTCTATAAACAAAATGGTTACTTTGGTAAGTATGTTTGAAATTCGATGTTACAAGTGAAATGATTGTTAAATGATGTTGTATTAAAATTGTTTCGAGGAGTTGATTGCAATAGTGTATGAACCAAGATACTCTATGGAACAACAATACAGGTGTCCCTTTAATTTAAGATCCCTCAAATTAAAAGCTACCTCCAATTATATACCACTTTTCTGTGGTCCCATATTAACATAATTTATATTATTTTAGTTAGAGACCAAAGCTGCCAAAGAACATGGAAACCCATGTCCCAAAAGAGGACAATAAAAAAAGAAAAAAGAGTGTATAATAATATACAAACAGCATTTTAATAATATGCTGACAGCTATCACTGCACTACCTGAGGTTTTTCTATATATTGTATAATTATTTTCAGAGTATGACACTTTATCAAGGCTAGGCCTAACTGACGCTAAAGGCTATATAAAAACAAGGTTCAAGTCAGAAAACCTACTCTTCCTGTCCTCGAGTTGTGCTGGGTCAGGAATCCTAGACCAAGTACAGGCTAGCATTGAAGAAGCATTGGACACTGGAACATGGATAGATGTTGAAGTAAGTGACCATATGACTGAATATCTATCAATATCATCCAATCTTTGCATAGCTTGGACCAAACAGCAAATTTAATGTATTCATGTTCAGGGCTAAGGGGCACAGTTTCGTCATGCATAAGATCAATTTGATTTTACTTAACTAATGCTCTTACTGTGAATCTTCAATAGAGTCCAATCTATAAGTTTGGCCTCAAAGATCGGTAGAGCAACAATAGCACTTACTAGGCCAGTGTTTAAATTCCAGTGGGGATAATATGCTTTAAAAAATGATTTAAGATATGATCTTTTAACATTTAGATATTAGTACATTGTAATTTTGTCAGGCATAGCCTCTTTTGTTCTTCTTCATTTCTTTCTTTATTTTGCATGTATGCTTTTGTTGTAAAGTAGATGTCAGTTGCCATTTTTTATTTTTCTTAAGTCCTGTCCAGACTATCAAATTTTATATAATATAAACATGTGACATACCTAAATATGGTCATCATGACATCACATCATGACCATATATAGGTATGTCATGACTATATATGGACATACAACAGTTTTGATAATCTAGACAGACCTTGAGTAGAGTTGTGACAGTAGATTTGTAATTATATCAGCAACTCAATAGTATAACAATAAGTTGATTAGATGATTGGTTATGTTTTTGTTTTGTTTTTTTCAGCCATTACTACCATCATGTTTTAGCCCAACAGATACCAACCAAATAGTGAACCAAGTACTGAAGTCAAAGTCAGGAGCTAAGGTGTTTTGTAACAGTATTGTTGCTAGTGATAGGTTCATTGGAGATTGCAAAGAATTGTTCCAAAAACCTATGCTGGATAGAGCAAATACGGTAAGCTGAAGTAATCTATTAGGTATTCAGTACAGTTTTATTCAGTTCACAAAAACACACACACACAGCTAACGGTTAGCAGGATCCAGGTAAATAACATATACGCACTTACCCTTGCGTTCATACAAGAAAATCCCCGATCCAGGCCAATAGGAAACTGGAAATTGGATTCCAGAATCTACTCGACGAGGTGACTTTAACGTTCTCGCATGCGCAGATGACTTTTAGTGACGTCATTACGTTCTACGTCCTACCGTCGTCGTGCAATCGAAAGCTCCCTAATGATTAAAATAATGAAAGAAACAATAGCTAAATGTTTCCAATATGTTGCGTTTACAGACTGCAAAAAAGTCACCAAACATATTTCTGCAAGTTGATAGGAAAGCACTTGGATCTGGAGAGAATGAAGGGAAAAGGGACAAGAAAGAGGATAAGAGGAGAAAAGTTGGTGGTGGAGGAGGTGGTGGAGGGTCCAAGGGTGGGATGGGAGGAAGAGAAGTGAAAATAAGAAAGGTAAAGAAGCATTACAGAGTAAAAGAAGTGGAAGAAGAAGAGGATGATTTGTCTGGAGGTAAGTTCATCATTATTCATCTGATCTCAATAACATGACCACTATTGGTGGCTTGCTTGACATATGACTAAGAACACACAAATTAAAATCAGGAACTAATTATTAAATGTGAACTATTAAACAATTTAAAATTTAATTATGTTTTTTGTTGTTGTCATCCTGTGTGGCAATGTTAATACAAGAGTTTGAACTGCCATTGAACATGTCTTATCTGTGCACTGTAGTTGTATTTATTCAAAACATGTAAATTTAAAAACATCAGCTATCTCGCATCACCCAAACAACCTGTCCAATATACCACTATGTCAGAATATAACATCTCAATACAAATACTTGGTTTTGAAAAATTGTATGTCACATTGTGTTGCATTCTAGGATTACGGCCAACTGAGATACCCTTCATGACAGTGGAGCAGGTTAAAAATCTCCTTCACGATCAAAGCAGTTTATCAGAATGTCCTGAAGAATTCATTGAAGAGTTGTCTCAACACCTGCACAGGTAAGTTTGTCGAAATGTGAGACCTGAGATATATCCTGATCTCAAGCTCACCAATATCATTGATGCCAACACCTCCACATGTAGGTGAGGTTGTGGGATAGGCTTTTGATGTTCAGCAGTATCACATGGATCCCAACACTTGCACAGGTGGGTATGGTTGAGGGGTAGGCTTGGATTATATGTTTAGCAGTATCGCATAGATCCCAACACTTGCACAGGTGGGTATGGTTGAGGGGTAGGCTTGGATTATACTGTATGTTTAGCAGTGTCACATGGATCCAACACTTGCGCAGGTAGGTACGGTGAGGGGTAGGCTTGGATTATATGTTTAGTAGTGTCATATATTGTAGATCCTGACACGTGCACAAGTAGGTATGCAGACATGCCAACCACTCCGATTTCGGCGGAGTTACTCCGATTTTGGGTCGAAAATCTCCGCTTTTTACTGATTTCGTCCAGCTGAAAATGTCGCGCATTTCCGAATAAAAATGATAATCCTATGATATAAATAAGAACAAGACCACTTAATTTTGTCCTGAAAACAGCGCTCTGAACTGTATACGAAATAGTAATTTGCGCTCTACGGTCTATTGATTTCGAAAATAACCAATTTCATTGACCAAATCGCTGTCAGAGTTGCACTCTGAACTGTATATGAAAAATTAATTTGCGCTCCACAGTCTACTGATTTTAAAAAAACAAATAACATTGGCCAAATTGATGTCAGAGTTGCATTGTACTCTGTACTGTATAGAGTGCTCCTTGGTCTACTGATTTCATAACACTAACAATCTAGTAAAACACAATTTCGAAAATGGAGTCTGATGAGTTCGATATGGATGTAGGCCAAAGCAGTGCTCGAAAAACGAGTAGTAGTGTTCAGCTTCCTCCAAAAAAGGAAGCTAAAACACACGCAAACATGCAAGTTAATAATGGAAAGTATCCTGTCAGTTGGAAATAAAAACTACTGTAGGTGATGCCTACGGTACGCTTGTTGTGATTGGTGCTGTGCTGATTTTCTGCCTAGAGCCTAGTCTTGCACGGCGGTATTGCTGATTGTGAGTCAAAACGGTTACATTTTACAATCCAGTCACATTGGTACCATGTCTTAGGAAGACTCACCTCGCATTCTCAAAACTCCGCTCAGACGTTTTTCAGACTCCTCCTGTTGGCCTTGTAGGGTTGGCATGTCTGAGGGGTAGGCTTGGGATACATGTTCAGCAGTGTGACACAAATACCAACACCTACACACGTAGGTATAGCTGAGAGGTAAACTTTTAGGTTAAGCTTGGTTTCCATACAATCGCTAAATGCATTCGCCGACAGCTTTCAGTGATGCTCATTGGTCGGGCAAATTCGCCGAGCCTTTTTGGGGAATGATTGCACAGAAAATATTAACTACAGTGTAGCGATTTTATGGAAACCAGGCTTTACATGGTACCAATCTCACATGGCTTGGAACACTGAAAAGAATGTTGACGAATTTTACTTGGTTGCTAACACCGCCACAGATAGGATAGTGTTTGTCATACAGTTATGGCAAGGTATATCTCTTAACAGTAACAGAATTTGATTGAAGTATTTGGAGTTTTTTTTCAACAGACCATTAACAACAGAATACCAAGACGCTCTAAAGGCAGCAATTGGCTCACTATCGGGCTCTACGGACAGCACTTCCCGACGGAAAAATCACGAAGAAATGCAGGAGAAAATCAATGGCTTGCTTACTAGTGTTAAAATGTTTGAAAAGAATATTACTATTTTTGAAGGTTAGTATATTATCTATGTGCGACCACACACATCCCTACCCCTCTCCCCACTCTTCTGTAAGCACTGTTGGTCCCCTATGTGATTTAAGAAATGTCAGAGTATTGTATAATTATAAATTCACCAAATTAATTTTTTTTCCTTTGTAGATGAACTAAGGAACCATTTAGTTAAGTATCTATTACGAACGTTGTGTACAGAGATTGCAAATCTACTCTTTAGCTACGTTGCAGCGGAGAACAGTCTGGTGAATGTAGAACACAATGATGTTACACCTGAAGTATGTATTGTTACTATTAATTTTAAATATTATTGTTTTTGAATATTATTTTTGCCAGTTCCTCTGTCCTGTGCAGTGGCGCTGCCAGTGGAGAGGGAGGTGGGAATGGCAGAAGTCAAATTCCCCCACTGGCCAGAGCTTGTCAGGCAGTCGGACCAAAAAAACAAAAAAAAAACAGGCCTAATGGAATGAGATTAGTTGAGTTTGAGAGTATAGTAACAATTGTATTTTATCAACTGAACATTTAAATTTCATTAATAGGGGGGTGGGGGCACATGCCCACCGAAACCCACCCCCGGCTCGGTCAGGAGGCCCTTGATGACAATGCGCGCCAAAGTTATCACTATCTCACTCAGCCCCGTGTCAAACAGCTTAGGGCCCCCAGAAAATATATCCTACAGCCGCCACTGGCCTTGTGCCACTTTCCTTTGATTTTTTCGACCTTTTGTCTCCCTTGACAAATATGTTTTCCCTGTGGTTTGCAATTTGGCACGTATTTCACCAAACTCAAATATAAACTTGTCAATTGTGTGTTTTAGTTGTATTAGTGATTGGCTTACTAAGTGTATATAATTATGATTATATAAATTTATGTTTTTTTCATACATAATTCCAATTTTTGAAAAATAATATGAATTTAATACCTTTAATACACAAAGAGTTTGCAGTGCAAGCATTTTATTGCCTCTTGTTGATCTTCACCATTACTAATTTAACTTCTCTTTGTTATAGGTAAGGTTAAAAATTCTCACCAAGCTTCCTGATAAAGTAAAGCCACAATTCACAAAACTCAATGCATCTCTTAATGATAAGGTAAATGTATTATGTTTCTATATTTATATGTCTTGTGGTTGCGTAAGGACATTCTTTGTAACAAGCTTAAAACTACGCAAGATGTTGAGAGATATTTTATGATCTGCATTTTAATTCTGCTATTATTTCTATGTTGTGTAATACTATATTAATAGTTAAGTTTAAAACCAGTTAAGTTTTATACCTTACTAGTATTCTGTTAACATAACCTTTTTCACATTTCCATATATCAATTTTTCTAATTAATACTTTTCTTCCATTAGAGCCTTGATGATTTTTCAAAGAGTCTGGAGTCAGCTGCGGATGTCTGTGATGTAATGTTGAAAAAGGTAGACAAGAAGAAAGAAAGGTGAGTTAATAAGAATATGACAATAATACTTTAGTTTCTCATTTATAAGCCCACTTCCCACCCCTAATTTATGCCGAATTTCTACACTATAGTTTTTTAAAAGCCCAGTGTATGATTTGAATGAGTAGGCTAGATATCCCTACAAATAACATGCTGTTAATCAAAATAGATTTTTTTTTTCACAGAAAAACTTGATTTTGTGAACAGAGATTTATTTTGTTTTATTTTTCTCATTTCAGGAACATTATATTCAATCATAAACAAGCATTAATAGCGCAGTTGAAAGAGGAATCGGATCCTGCAATGGCCCTGCATCTTGCAGTTGTCCTTCTCATTCAAAACACGAACAACACCTGTGTCCATGCACCCGGAAGGTAAGCTTGAGCCTTATTCACATCTGTAAATGTTGATCACCAATATTCATTATTGGTTTTAGCATACAATTGATGTTGGTTCTACCTGACATTTTATCATACTGAATGCTTAGTATGTTCCCAAATGCTTGTGAGAAAAAAAAATTGCAATTTATTTGTGTGAGAATCAAACCCACAACCTTCAGATAACTAGCCTGATGTCTTAACCACTAGACCACCGAGTTTGTGCTTGGTGGCTAGTAATGAATTTGATCCCCAAGTAACAGCTGGTATGGTTTTAGCATGCTATGGTATTAGTATGTATATGAAAATTTTACATGTGTTCGTAAAAACATTAGCTGAAATATTGTCTTTCTGTATTAGATGTATACCACAGTTGCTAGTGTTCCTAGAGTCGCACATTGCTGCCAGCCAATATAAATTGCTGTCTGATTACATGGGTCTTGTGCAGAAGCAGCTGGGTGCCTTGAAAAAGACAACTGAGGAAAGCCACGTGGAAGATGGTAGTGAGAAGACAGATTCACAGAAGGATGCTGGAGAGGTTGCAACCTCTTTGATAGAACTCCTGCCACAAATTAAAGAGATTGCTCTTGCAAAGAAGACCTCGACTGCTGAGTCTGCTAAGCCAGATGGGTGATGTCTATTCTAAATAATGGTTAATTATAATTATGGTGCAGGCATGTAACTAGAGGTGGTGGGGTTTCGGGGTGGAATAAGAGAAGATCTATGGTTTGGCCGAAGTTTGTCTTTGAGCAAAGACCCTTGTGCATAAATCAAACATCCTCTCCCATTGCATCAAGTACCATCGAAATTATAATGAAATGCCCCATCTGCATGTTAAATTGTTTCAGCTCCATGGGGATTTTCCATAGCTCTTCCTTGAGGCCTTAGAAGGGTGTTTATCCACTCACAAATGGCTCTTACGTGTTCCTCCTTAAGGAATCAGGGGTCCCAAGTTGGAGAAGTCATTCCCGGGAGATCTGCAGTGGCAGCTCGAAGGGTGGGGGAAGAGAGGGACTTATACAGATGGAGGGTCTAGAGCACGTCAGCCCCAATATGGTTGGTGCTCATGGTAAGAAAATTTATGATTATATCACCTCAAAAAATAGCCGGAAATAGCCCTCTCAGAATTTGAATAATATTTTCTTTTTTTTTTCTACCCCAGTTTTTCATAATTTTAAAATATTTAGGGGCAAGGGGCGGTTCCCCCTCCCTTGAATCTGCCACTGATCTGGTTAATGAGCTTTCTTAACACATTTAATTTAATTTGGCTCCACAGTGATACCCATCGGCTCTGACTTCCATGAGAAAATTGATAATAAAGCAGTGAAAACATGCAAAAATTATGAATTTGCAGAAATGGGTTAAAATTCCAGGAAGATACTTGCTGGCCTGCAGGAGTGCGGGAGGCCGTCCCGATTTCCGAGAGACTTGGGACCCCTGAGGAATTCTGGTTATGGGCCTGTAGGGACAGGATTTATGAAACATCATTGATATATTTTTCCATCATCATATCTTCAAAATTTTAGATTGTTTATTTTAAATTTATGCTTTTTAAAATATAATTTGTTTTTAATTAATTATATTATCAAATTTGATTCAAGAATGAATATTTCCGCACTAATAATAAATAAAGTAAGCCACGTCATGGTGTGCTATATAAATATATAATTATTTTATATAAAGTTTTAAACAAATAGTTGAGTAGCTCAGCTAAACAGCATGTATGCATAGCTCTACAGTAGGCGTACAATTCACCTATCTAGTCCGAATGGTAACACCATGAATTTTGCACCAAAATCCCATTCGAGTTTCATAGCAGAAATCTGATTCAAATTACTCTTATTCATTATGATTGAACTGACAAGAATAGGTTTTTCTTCTGTACAATATAGACATTAAACTAAGAAATATTATAATTTATAAGTGAGGTTGTTTATTTAGTTTATTTGTGATGCCTGTATGTAGACTGGGTTCCAGTCACTAATATTTGTCTTTAAATCTATTTTGACACCAATGGCGTTCCATATTACCTATTTGCTTGGCGTTTCATAGTATACTTTTTCTTGGATTAGGCATAAAAGTTTCTCGATATATACCGTCGCTGGTGGCGCTCTCCAAAATTAACTAATACTAGGAAAACCTACAATTAGAGACGTGTGGCAAGTCTGCATGTATGGTGCAAACATCAAATTTGGATGAGTGTTACTACAGTATAATACATTGTGCAATCTTCACTAGTGTTAACACTAACTGTATATAATTCAGCACAGACCATTTAATTTTAAACATCCACTTTCTACTAGGTACCCAGTTATACTTCAGCTGTGTGGAAAGAGATAAGTGTAGAGAGTGAAGACTAAAGGCAGTGTGATCCCGTTTGAATTGGACCTCATCAGACTTTTTTTTATACCAAAGCCATAGTATGGTTATACATTTCATTTCTAATTTAATTTCATATTCAAGTTTCTCTTTATTGTCACGTAAAATGTTTACATAAAATTCGTTTACCAAGGTTCAATATACACATAAATAAACTTAAATATCAAATATAGTAAAATGGTGTTAAAATACAGGATACAATTCAATCAATCAATCAATCGTTCCATTTGTATGTCGCCATTCCAACAGTCGTTGTTCGTGGTGCCGTTCCAAAAAGAGATTATTAAAAAAGGTGCATTTTGAGTAGTGACTTAAAACTGTCAAGAGAAGGTGATAGTTTAATGTTCAAAGGAAGGTTATTCCAGGGCCTTGGTCCAGCAATGCTTAAAAGCCTGATCCCCCCATCTATCTCCTTGGGATAAATATATAATATAACATACAGTACAAAAACATCATAATGTTACTTATATACACTGGTTAATTGCAACTATCTCTTATGATAGCAGAAGGGAGAAATAAATTAATGACGAAAATTTTTCATTAACGAGGGAATAATGTGACCTGACTTAGGGTGTGGGTTGTCATCTAGTACAGTATACATTTAAGTTTCCTATTTATGCCCTGTCAGCATATTTTTTACATTTTTCATCAAAGAATTGATATTGTACCAATTCAATTTTCCGCCATGACATTTAATATAAAATCACAGCAGGTACCGTAAAGAAAAAACTAACAGGTGTAAAACACGCCTATGTAAAATTGTTAAACCATATAAAACTTGGCACCAACACATTCAGTTATCAAACAATATAAAGAATATTCCTTTCTATCGAGCCTATGTTCAAAATATTTCTGTAAAACTGTCTCATTGTACCGTGTACGGCATATTAAACACTACAAACAATGATTATGTGGGCGGCTTGATTTATTATTGTGGTGATATTGTTAAATGATGATAGTTCTTCAAATCGATTTTAAGATATCAGAAATGAAACCGATAATATTAAAATTAAGAATATTCATTTAAAAAAAAATCGGTTTTCTTACAGTTTGCTAATACTTGTTTAGGTATAAACTGATAAACAGTATTTTTGCCAACTGACAGCATAATCGGTACGGTTTTCAAATGCTAAAATTGTACATATTGTTGTGGTATTACCAAAAATAGATTGTAAATTATTAAGTTATCTGTTGAATTGAGAATAGGACAGCAAAACCGCCAAGGTTAGTTAAACGACGGAGTTGTTATATCTGTAACTCTTTCCTGGTTAAACTTATTGTTTTGGTTTGAAGAAAGAAGTTACAGCTCCGTGTTTCATTCATGGAGTATAATGGTTGAATATGAAGGTTAACCTCTCAGGGTACGCGTGTAGGAGTGCGAGATAAAAGTTTACAGATGACAATGGTTCACGGTAACGATTTCACCCCAAAACAGAATGAGTGGTTCCAATTCTTCTTTTCTTCTCCTTTTAACAGAATGGCCTATAACAAAGAAAAGGTTACTAGTACAGTGTCGTACTGTACTGCAAACCAGCACCAATAATGGAACCGATATATAACTAAAAAGGACTGTATTCTAGCCTCGCAAAACTTACAATTACAATTGGGAGAAATTAAAAAAGAAGTAAATCCTTGCCGAGACACGGGGCTCATATATGGGCTGGGGCTTATATATATAGGCTTGGCCCTAGTTTAAAGCAACGCGAAGCGGATTAGAGAGTGATGTTCCCCCTCCCCGAAGTGGTACGCTGGTTCACTGACACAGCTGGATAGACTGAAGCAATGCAGATAAAGTGCCTTGCTCAAGGGCAGAAGGGAAATGCATAACGGATTGAAACCCCGGCCTCAAAGTTGGGAAAAACCAAATCATTTGCACTGCGGCAAACCGCCTCCACACAAAAAAAAAATTGGAAGAATACGGAATACTATATTATAAAAAACTTTAGGAAATTCTATAATTAATATATAACCGACTATAAACACGAAACGAAACTTCGCTTTTTCGTTATTTGATATGAGGAAATGAACAGAGTGCATGCCATGTTGTCAACCCACGTCTTGGTTATGTGCTTAATGTCAGTCAACTTCTTGAAATACAGCTCCGGATGTTGAGGATTGGTAACGCGATTTAATTGAACCACACCTCAATTCAACATTATGTCAAATAGTTCAGAAATAAACAAGAAAAAGGATATGTTCCAGACGCATAACTTACAAAGTTTTTGGGCAAAAAACCGTTAAAACTCAAGAAACAAATACTTTTTGTCTATATATCCGAGAGGGCTTGTTCCAGCACCATATATACTGTCTCTTATACACATCTAGATGTGTATAAGAGACAGATGTAAAATTGTTAAACCAAATAAAACTTGGCACCAACACATTCAGTTATCAAACAATATAAAGAATATTCCTTTCTATCGAGCCTATGTTCAAAATATTTCTGTAAAACTGTCTCATTGTACCGTGTACGGCATATTAAACACTACAAACAATGATTTATTATTGTGGTGATATTGTTAAATGATGATAGTTCCTCAAATCGATTCTAACACAATTTTCAAACTCAATACCATATAGGCAAGGCCTAATGATTTTTATTATCAAAACTCAGTATAAAACAGACATGTTTCGGCAAATCCTTTGCCATCTTCAGTGAAACGATTGCTAACATGCAATCTACTATTTAAAGGGAGTGAACAACTGTGAAGCATTGTATTTTAAATAAATGGGAATTGAACCATAGCTATTTGAACAGACATCACGACATTGCATTTTTAAGGAATCGATTTGACTGTAATTGTAAAGAAGAAAGAATGGTATGAATAAAGATGACAACGTAACATCAGAATGACAACATTATATAGGCCTATTATTGTAGTATGGCTATACGTTGCGGCGCCCCTTGCATTAACCGCTGGTCACTGACACTGATAATTTAATATCATTTTAAAATTATACATAGTTTTCCTCTGTACAATACATTTTTAATATTAAGTAACACCAACTTAAATACTTCGGTGAAAGTTCCCATAGTAAATATAATGTCAGTACTTGCACGAAGCATGGGGAATGGATGAATATTATTACTGTACTGGGTCACGGAATGCGACTCTAGCTCGTGGCACGTTAGTAGGTAAAAAGATATCATTTTGGAATTTCACGGGGAGACGCTTTCGACTATATTTGGTTATTATTAATAATAATAATCTTGTGATTATTCACAGTACGGTATTTAATTCTACCTGTTTTGTGTTTTGTGTAAGCCTGTCATTTAAGCCTGTCCTATTGTATGAACAGATTTTATCTAGACTTACTTTTCGATGAAGTTATGCGTCAGTGGAACTTAATTCAAAACTTTGAGCATCATTGGCGTCACATTTTAAAGAGACGTGGACGAGAAACATGTACCTTGCAATTGAGGGAGAGGCAACACGATTCTTTAGTGATATTTTAAGATGCACTTCCCCTTTAAATCGAGTAACACATAAATACTTTACAGACTTATTGCATAAAGATGAGACCGCTTTGGTTTTGTATGTTCACCGAAACAGTTTCGATCTGTGTATTGAAAGTTAACGTACAATTGAAATATTTAGGCCCACACACTATTAGGTTTAGGTGGGTGTCGCATATGTCATTAATTTTGTTTTGTTCAGTGTTATGATAGGCATACGTTTGAATGGTCATACAATAGTATACTTTGTTTTTAATTCCCATGACAGGGGAAGTGTGGCAACATATATATATTTAATAAAGGATGCTGAACGTCAATGCTGAATCCACCAAATTTGAATATGAATCAGGCCTATGTGGCTTGCAGAACTGTGCATACACACAGTGCAACCGAAAAGGGGGCCTTACCTGGGGCCCACACCAACCCTTGCTTGTACAATCGTACACACATTGTTATTATTATTATTATTATTATTATTATTATTATTATTATTATTATTATTATTATTATTATTGTGATTATTATTATTATTATTATTATTATTAAGTTAGGCCTATTATTATTATTATTATTATCTTATACACATCTAGATGTGTATAAGAGACAGCCCCAATGGAAACTAATTCATACATTAATTGGGTCGTTCCGAATCAATTCATTTACTTCATCTTTTTAATAGCCGTTTTCTTGTATCTCTATTTTACTTTGTGTCACTTATTGTATTTTTCTTCCATGATGTAGATTCGAAAAAAAAACAAACAAACAAACAAATCTTTCCGGAGTCTCAATCAAACCAATCAGAAAATGGCCAGGAATACGCGCGCGCGTGTCTCACGAACACGTGTAGTAGTGAAAAGTGTAGGCTGTGGCACCGAGACCTCTGACGATTAGTGCTTAAAATTGTTTAGAAAAACGTAATACAATAATAGCATATTGACTACTATTGTATATTTTCGGAAAATATTTCAGCCGCTCCAAATCTCTTTCCTATTCTTCCTTCTTCCTTTATTCTTTCACAATTTTGCACACTCACATAATAGGCGTAGTCATTTTGTTTAGGCATAGTCTAGGCTAGACCTCGGCTATGCCTATTACTATATTATTTGAATATACAATTTTAATAAATAAGATTAATTTTACATGGAGGGCCCTATTTAAAATTCTTTGACTCGCCACTGAACCGTATATCTGAAATAAGGGAAATGTCCATAATATTGCAAACACCTAAAAAAACATGAATTGATCAATTATAATCCACTCATAAGTGTATCAGCCTTGGTAGAGGTTATATGAGATTAATTTACAATAAGGCTATGTTATTGTAAGGCGGGCACGAGCCTGTTAGGTTGTCCTACCATGGTCTTACCAATGACCTTAATACGTTTTTCAAACGTGCTTAAGGAAAGAAAGTATTAAACTATTTATATTCAGTATTTTAATTGTTTTTGTCATTTTAAAAATGGTTATATTCTTACATGTTTTTTTAATGCTTAATTATATCAATTATATTGCTGTATTTGTTGGGGACCCCCTCGAAACTACAGTTTCAAAATAGATAAGTGAGTATCCGCCCCTGCTGGTGGTGTTCAAGAAGAGAGATTCTATGGTTTATGTATGATATTTACAATCCCAAGACGTTTTGCCTACCTCTACCATCAGTTTGTATTGGATTGCACTCAGGCAATCTCTTATGTAAAGTTAAGAAATAGTATAGTGCATATGCCAAAAACAATATGAATTAAGATAAAGTACTACTTGTTCAATAACAGTTTTAATATATTATTGTTGTTAAATATTATTTGGAAAATTGTTCCATTCTTATTCTCCAATAATAAAATTGATAAAGATGATAAGGATAATAATAATATTAATGTTATTATATAGTATATAATATTAATAACAGTACGTTATATTAACAATCCATTTATTCTAGTGTATATAGTATTCCGTTGTAATTACGGATTAAACATTTTAGCTGTACTGATACGGGATGTGCAAAATGTAGGTCTATTTCCAAATATAAATTTTTAGCAATTTAGTCCTTCAATTGTGTTGTCAAAATCCTTGAAGTGAAGTGCATTGCTCGCTCAAGATAGATCAATGAAACACTCTTAACAATAACATCTTTCGCTTGATTTACACAATTAATTCAACGTCACAAATCTCGTGAATTGTGTTGACGGAAGCTTGCAGAATAACTGGGATTTTCTTTAAAGATTTACAGCATATCCGGTAACAAGTCAGTCGTAAAAAAATCATTGGACTTCACTAACCTTCCAAGTTGGAGAACTTTGGAATATTTGGATGATAATGGCTACCGAAAGCAAGGAATCTGAGAAGGTGCAGTGTCCATTGGCAAGTAAAAAATTGCCAGGTCCACCGCAAGGCCGTTTGTTCGGGAATATTTTCCAACTCGAAGAAAGATCGCACTTGTCTTGGACTAAATGGAGCAAGGAATTTGGAACTATCTATGAAATCAGTATGGGGCCGATGGGGAAAGCTATTGTCATTAGCGGAGCTGAGGAGCTTGCAAATGCTTACGAACCTGGTTCAGAAAACGACATCGCATTTAGTGATAGGTGGAGACCACCGGTACTCGAAAAGGTTGGATACGCAGGTGAGTACAGTACACTACACTAACAGTTGTCTGTCATTTGCTTGGCTGTAAACAATGGGAAGGGATTATAATATTATTCGTGGAATGTACCAAGATATCAATATCCTTCATACTGAAACCTTCGAAAAAACCGAATATTATAATAATAATAATAATAATAATAATAATAATAATAATAATAATAATAATAATAATAATAATAATAATAATTATTATTATTATTATTATTATTATTATTATTATTATTATTATTATTATATTAATAATAATATTTTAGGTCACATTATTAAGAAGACACAACAATAATTGTTACTTAACCAATATCCTGAGGCGCGTGGAACGGAGAGAGTAGAGAAAACAGTAGAACTTATACATACTGTTTGTGGTGCTGAACTAATAATAATAATTCAAATAATAAAACATTAAATAGTTAAACCGTTATTAAATTTTTAATTATTGGTCATGTTGTAACTTCAGCCGTTGTCTTTCAAACCATTTAAATTATCGTAGCAAAAAGTATAAAAACTAACTTGTGTTTTTAATGAAAGTTAATCACTTGTAAATTATAAATGCTTGAAAATGTGTAGTTCAATGGTTTGATTGAATGTGTGTGGAATGGGAATTGAATATATGGCGTAGACCTATGTTTAAGAAAAAAATACAAAGTATAGGCCTATGTAGGCCTAAAAAAAAACAAAGGTTACTTTGTATTTGGTCACGGAGGGCTATATCTGAGGATTTTTCAAATGAAAGATAGGGGGTAGCTAGCTACCCTATTCTCCCTTCTCCCTCCATGACTGGATCCGCCAATGATCGCGCACACAGCAAATCTATTAGATTTCGACGTGTAATGAGAAACAGCACATATAAGGGCTTACAATTATTGTTACTATTATTGTATTATTTTATCATTATCGTCATTATCATAATCGTCATCATTATCATCATTATTATCCTTATCATCATCATTATTATGATTTACACCACAATCTCTTAGGAAGTCTCATATGGGAAAACTGGTTAGAGGGAGCAAAGGAGAGAAAACATCTTTTGGAAGAAGTTTTAAAAAACATGGACATGGAAGGACTTCTGAAAAAAGAGATGAATGCATTATGCGACGTGTTGAGTACCAAGAAACAGGTCGATGTGTGTGAACTCCTGGATCAAGCTAACAACAACATCCTTCTGTCGCTCACTCTCAATCGAGGAGATCGTTATGAGTATACAGACGACGAATTCAAAAAGTTATCAGAAGTCCTTACGTCATATAACAAACACCAATTGGTAGTAAGTCCCATGAATCTGATGCAGTGCCTGTGGCACACGCCTCTCTACAGTGCAATGCGCAAAAGTCTTGAACGTATGAAAACAATATTGCATCCGTACATTGAATCCCATCGTGACGATTTCGATAGACGGAACATCCGTGATCTCATAGATGGCTATCTAGGAGGGATTGGAGAAACATCATTTGATGTGCAAGAGGCTGTCATCCACACCAGTAGTCTCTTTCCATCTTCATGTTCTCTGAAGGCTTCAATGAAGTGGGCTATATTGTTTGTATTAAGTGATGATGGTGTTCAAACTGAGGTATGAATCTGCAACTTTTGTCCCGATAGAATAATTAGTAGTAGGTGTATGTTCCGCGGCTATAGTCTGCTGGTGCCGCTTTAGAGGAAATATAAATCCTCTTTTAAATTATACAAAAACTAAATAATCTAACACATCAAGATATGCAAATAGTCATATGGGATGCAAATCGTTGACAAATCATCAGAGGTTTTGGGGGATTCGTCTCAGTCATCCCCTCCAGCGGCTGGTTACGTCACTGCTCTGGGATTAAGCCAATAGAATGAATTTTGGCATTCATCCACAACTTCTATTTTTTACGCTGATTGGTGGAAAATTATCGATAACACAAGTATTAAAATTCCGTCTCCATAGAAGTTAATTTTCTTTTACAACCTACCATCTCTATTTTTGAGTAAATCAAAATACAGGTAAATAAATATTTAAAATATATGTGACATTTTTAAAAATATATATGATTATTCTTCTATGTAGCGTTTTTGAATTATGACATGGTGTTCTGATATCCAGGTTACATAAGAACTGAAATGAAAATTAAGTGACTGTTTATTTGTTGTGATAATAATTGAACGATTTTATTAGATTCAAGAAGAAATTGATCGAATTTTGGCGGATACGGATGAAGTGTCTGAGGAAGTTGTAATTAGTAAGATGCCATACATCAACGCGGTAATCCAGGTAAGGATGTGTATCACCATAACTGTTATTTGTTCACCATCACCACAACCAACAGTGTCACCATGTCACAATCATAAATTATTTCTTGCATCTTCATTCCTTCTATATTCATCTTAATGTGTTTATAGATATTTATAGAAATACAACTGAGAAGACTTAACAAGTCTTGTTAAGTTTGCTCTGTCACGAGACGTACAGTTTTGTGATGGCGTTACATTTTTATCAATTTTTTTTTTTGCTTGTAGGAATCTCTACGGCTTTCCTCTCCAATAGCTCAGCTTCTTCCACATTGTCCAGTTAAAGACACACACTTTGCAGGTTACGAGTTCAAGAAAGATACAATTATTTTTTCAAACCTTTGGGGACCAAATCATGATCCAGAACGGTGGTCGGATCCCTTGCTCTTTAAACCTGATCGTTGGTTGAACCCGGAAAACTTACCACCGAACTTCATGCCGTTTGGGTCAGGTAAGAGCAATGAATTACATTGGATCCAATTACAGATAGTGCGCAGGGAACATCCACAGTGACATAGTTACCAACCTGAGAGATTTGAAATGCGTGACTACACCCATTGGCTGGGGGCGGAGCGGGGCCACCAGAACCCCGCCGGGGTCACGGGGTGAGGCCTCGGTAGGGGTCGGGTTTGAGTCACATAATCAACTGTTGGTTGTGACAATGAACGCGCAAGACAGCACACGCCTCATTAAGTGCGTGCTGAGTTATTTTGGTTGAAATAGAGAAATTTTCCTGGTGAATTGATTCTCGAATGAGACAACGAAAGCTCTCTAACGACATAAGTTACTGCATTTTCCCCTGAATTCGTAATAATTCTTTATCCCGCATAGACATGTGCTAAATGCGTGACAAATTTATGATCACGCATGTGTTGATGCAAAATGCGTGTTTTATCCAAAATCACTTTGAAACGAGACCGTCCCGCATGATGCGAGACGGTTGGTAACTTGATGAAAATATATCGGCATATTCACACCGTGGAAGGACAATTTAGATATATAAAAAATATTATGGAATACAGTTGTTTTTATATAGTTTTAACATATATCGTAAATAATTGTTAATGTATATGTTCTGGAACTCGCACAGTAACAGCAAGCTTAAGGTTGTTGATTCATCTGATTGCAGTGAACTTTTTTTTAAACATTTTTTTTGGCCTGGGCAAAATTTTACTGGTTCTTATAAAAACAAGTGTACTTACAAAATACACATTATTATCATTGTCAAATAATCAGTTTGTTTCCTGTTGTTTATGCAATTCATTCAGTGGCTAAAGCTACATGTCGACATACATTTTGTGTAGGCTTGGTCAAGGTTATGCTACGTATGGTGATATACAATAGTGTATCTGAGCAACCGATAATTTTAAAAGCCATGTCCCGGAGGGAAAATATGGTGATATGTTGTAAAACTGATTACTTTAAGACACAGAAATGATGTCTGACGAAAAATGGGGGAACGGTTTGCATCCCCCATTCAAAAGTTTGTATTTTAGGCTATTAACCGTTCCCGAGTTTTTCGTAAAATCATTTATATGTTCAGTTGTACTCCATGGTACAACATATCAATAAAAAATTTCCTCAGGAGCCTCGGTTTAAAGTTCGCATATTTTTGTTTTTGTAGGGTTGAGGAAGTGTCCTGCATACGACATGGCTTTGACAGCACTGCGCATGCTCATTGTTACAGTTTTCAAAACATTTCATCTTAAAAGTGTTGATGGGGAGAAGCTGCCAACTCTTGACGACAGCTTCATGTACATTGGTGCTGTTTTCCCAAAGCAATTCAATCTCATTGCCACACCCAGAGAATTGAAACGTTCACACTAGTCTTGTTTGTTTCATGATAGATAAGTTAGATTGTATTCTGTATGCTAGGTGTAGCATCCACTTGGGTAAAATCGTGTTAAGTATTAAACCTAAGCCTATTGTAAACCGTTTTCTGGATAAAATTCAATTCAGTTCATTCAATGCAATTAACATTTATTCAATTAATTAATCAAATACATAAAATGATAAATAAAGTGGACAACATTAAAATTAATTAATTAGGATCAAAAATAGAAGCAAAGCTTGTCTCAATTTGACCCCGACAATATGTATTCGAATTAACTTTTAATAATCGTGTTAAAGGTGGTGTTCTTGTTAAATAATAAATGTAGGCCACCGGTAGCATAAAACTATTTTCAGTCAAATCAGTACTCGCACTCCGCCAAGTTCACTTGGATGTCAACACGATATCCCTATCTTAATATGATATTAGTTTAGCAGTTTCGGTAAGTTAGTATTTTTGTAAAAATGTAGGCAAATAACATAATCTGCAATTATAATAAGATATTTTGGGGTTTTGGGGAAAAATCTATTTTTACGGAACGTGAGAACGCGCGCGCAATGTATGCAGACAGCGGGAAAGGACGACCGTCATACGACACAATATGTACCCGGTTTAATCAGTAAAATACAATTGGACAGTGCAGACTTCGATCAACACAACACTAAAGTACCGCAAATGCGCCGCGGCGCTTATAAAATTTTTGGAGGCTTCAGTGCGGCGCTTATTCGAGAGCGGCGCTTATAAAAAAATATTGGTGTGGCGCTTTCCATGCCCGTTTCCATGTTACCATATCTCATAGTATTGCCGTTGTTCGGTAGGTCCTACGTCATCGTAAATAAACGTTTATAAAGACATGCTTGTGTCTTCATTGTGTTATTAAGCCTGTTTCCCACTAGGCGAATTTATTCGAAGGCATCGGTTCGGTTCATGAGCTTTGATTGGTTGTGCACTTTTTTCGCTTCGCAAGAAGTAGAAACAATTCAAACTACAGACTTACGCTGAAGAGAAATGTGAATGCGCATGCATTCCTCGCCACTTGACTGGTGGCCAATCCAACTGGTCAGTGGTCTGCAGAAGTTCAGCGGAGCTGGACGAAACGCCACTCAACGTTAATAATAGTAAGTTCCCGTTTTTTATTTAAATACAACTTAATACTTCCTATTTATTCATTTTAACACTCTAAACATTGTATTCAAAGCCCCATTCCCGGCAAAATTTCACTAAAAACTGACTTTTTTTTAGAAAATATGCATTTGCATTACTCCAATTATTATAAATCATGGAAAAATATTGGCATGAATTTTAGTTTTACGCAAAAGAATTAAAAAAAAAGAGAAATACTGACTATTTCTCATAAAATATTACCATCTTCTCGACGAATTCATCGTTACTAGGCAAATTCAGAGGTTGTAGATCGCATCCACTGGAATACTCTCGCTTTTATGTATACTTTATACAGTCAATAAAGTGCGCCCTCTCTAGTGAGATTAGTTTTTGTACTTCGCATCTCGCACAATGCGTTCGTTCGGTTAGATTTGTTTAAGTGTCAAAATCTCAGTCAGAATCAGTTTTTTAACAAATTTGAAATAATTCCTATGAAATATTATATTACACAAGTGTCATTACTAGCAACGGAAAATATCATGTCGGCCGTTTTTATGTGTGATAACAGAACCTAAATCGAGGTAAGGCTAGGCCTGGCCTAGCAGCGTTGGATAGGCTAATGTTTTCGGCGCCTACGATATTTCTTCTCACGACCTGTCGCAAAATCAAACATGAAAATTCATCCGCATTTATTTTTTGTGTGGAACACAAGGAACACAAAAAATCAAATTTCAGTCTTATTTTACATTTTTTTCATTCTTAGGAATGTCTAAATTCAGTTAAACTAGCAATTCCGTATTATATTTATAAATCTTTATAACATTATACAAAAATTAGATTAAAAAAAAAATGAAATTTTGCCGGGAATGGGGCTTTAAAACCCTGTTTCTCAAAGTATTTCATTATACACACGAGTAATACTGTCGATTAAGCGCCGCGGCGCTTAGCTGAAAAAAAAAAAACAACGTTTTTTGCGGCATTTAAAGCCTTTGTTACAGTGTACAATATTTTCAGTGTCATGGGAGTGATGTTTTAATCTACCTGACGTGTTATCGTACCAATTACTAGCGAAAACAAATTCGCAAGTGATTCGGTTGGGAATCGAACCCACTACCTCCAGATAACTCAGGTGTTTGCGTCAGGTAAATATCAATATCATGACGTTACTCTCCTATATTTTCCTGATGCAAACACACATCGAAATGTTCAGTGTCAACATTAAATATCTGCCAGCCACCATATGGTAAAAACCTTAAAAATTAATTTCTAGTTTTCAAACAAGATCAGACAAGTGACACAGATCGAAAAAAAAAGCAAAAACGACGCTGATTGGTCGGTCGATTCCGTTAGCCTTCCGATTTCGCCGGGGCCAGCTACTCAGTGTGCAATGAAAACAGTATAGCGATTTTATGGAAACAAGCTTAATCAAATTCACTTTTTAAGGACATTGGCATAATTATGCCTATATTTAGAACAAGCTAAATTGGAAGATTTCCTTTTGGAGTAGAACTGCCAAATTCACAAGTAGGTATGTCTTTGCACTTGGGCAGAGCTGTGTTGTGTAGGGCCGGACCGGCCTATGTATTTCAGCTGTTTCTAAATATAAACCGCAATATGCTTAATTACACTTTTGTAAATTTAATTCTTTTGTGGCGCCCTCCATCGTTGGAATTCGTCCCAATAGAAAAGTTTGCCTTGGCCTACAATATTCTATCTTTTTGACAAAAGGTGTTCTTGCGGAAGTTGTCCCTCGACTTTGTATTTTAGTACAAACAAGCCACAATGCAATGAAAAACACACTTTTTTTAAAATAAAATTTTGCCCAGGCTCAGTGTTCTTATTTTTTATTTTCCTATTTCAGGCTCAAAATGTTTTATTTTGTTCTTATGTTACACACTTTTCAAACATACAAAATTATTATATACCAGTATACACTGTACTAAAATGTAGGTAAAAGTGGCCCTGGAAAAATGGCCTCGAAAAAAAATGTCCCCAGAAAAAAGGCCTCGTTAAAAATGGTCCCAATTTACACCTACTGTATTATAGATGGGTAATTACATAGTCACACCTATTGCACAAAAAGTACAGATATATTTTTGGGGTTTTCTAGTTTTTTTAAATAAAAATCTCATTTGAAATTTTACCTCAGCCTCAATTTGTTTTTATTTTGTTCTTAATTTTTAAGCAATTTCAGCCTCAGTTTTCTTATAAAATGTGTTCTTATAAAAAAAAGTGTATCTATCAAACCAAAGAAAAGGAAGATTCAAATCAATTTCACAGAAAAGACAATTCACATAATATGGTGAATGTCTTAAGTACTAGACCACGAGGGTAATTGTGGTGAATCTTTTTAAAAGCTTTTTCCTTCTTAAGCAGATTTCAGAATCCCAAAAAAAAGGTTTATAAGTACGAGTACTTTCGAAAGTACATGATGATGACCTATGGTCGAAATTACATATGAGTTCAAAAAGCCTCCAGATGCAATTATTCAACAAAGTCCGTTTTGCCGTAAATTCTTGAAAACAAAAGCAAAAGGCATGTGTGGACAATTAGCCTAACAATAACAGGTATCGCTTGAGTCACTGAAAGCAAGTGCTAGTCGTGGTTGACTTGTACGAATAAGATGGCTACTAGCGAAGGAGATGGTAATGATTCGCAATGTCCAATGTTAAGCAAAACATTGTCAGGTCCATCACAAAGCCTTCTGTTTGGAAACCTTTTGCAAATTGATGCGAACACGCACTTGTCTTGGACTAAATGGAGCAAGGAGTTCGGATCTATTTATAAAGTAAGTTTTGGGCCGATGGGGAATGCTGTCGTATTTAGTGGTGTTAATGAGCTTGCGGCTGCCTTCGAGCCTGAGTCAGAAAATGACAATACATTCAGTGATAGATGGAGACCTCCTGTACTGGAAAAGATCGGATACGCAGGTAAGGAATTTTGAAGTTATGGGGAAAGAGTTTTATATTGTAAGAGAATAACTTTAACAAAAGTCTCTTTACGGCTGCTAGGTAGTCACAGACTACGCCCATACGCAATTCAGCACAATGACGCTGCAAGGTTATGGGTTATTCTCCTACCTTTATCTTTACCTTTAAAAAATAAATTATGTCAGTTGCTTTGTCCGTGGGGAACAGCCAGGGTAAAATTTTAGGGGTCAAGCCTTGCGAGTGCATTAGCTAGGGCTAGGCTGGGGCATGAACCTCTGATGAAGGCCTACTATTACTAGGTGTCGTAAAAGCAGGCATGTTGTTCTCCACCTACTGCAAGCATTTCCTTGGACGTGAAAAAGCTTAGTCCTATTTATCCTATTATCGCTTTATATTATTCTTTTAATACCAATATTGTTGCTTCTAGACTTGCCACAAGTCCCTTTAATATTATTATTTTTTCTCATTCTGGACAGCGCCACCAACGCAAGCAAGTTATATATTTTTTAAAAGTACAATGTCAGGGTCCCTCGTGCCTGGTGGCCCTGGCGCTCGTTCCCCTCCCCTTGTCAGCGCCCGAACATTAGCTAGGCGTCCACGGGTCGAAGCGTCGGAAGCCAAGAGGTATTTGTGGGTCATACATTATAATAAGGAAATGGTATTCATAGCACATACTATTTTGACTCCAATTAATGTGGTTTTGTAAATTCATGATTTACACCCAATGTTTAGGAAGCATCTCATGGGAAAACTGGTTAGAGGGTGCGAAACAGAGGAAGCATCTCATGAAAGAAGTTTTCAGAAGCATGGACATCGAAGGACTGCTGAAGAAAGAGGTGGATGCAGTCTGCGACGTGCTTAGTAACAAGGAACAAGTCGACGTGTGTGAACTCCTGAATCAAGCTAACAACAACATCCTTCTGTCGCTCACTCTCAACCGAGGAGATCGTTATGAGTACAACGATGATGAATTCAAAATACTATCAGAGGTCATTACGTCAAATCACAACCGACCAGTCATAGCAAGCCCCATGAATTACGTCCAGTGTCTCTGGCACACGCCTCTATACAATACAATGCGCAGAAATTATAAATGTTTGAAAAGTACATTACAACCGTACATCGACTCACATCGTGCTGACTTCGACAGTGAAAATATCCGTGATCTCATAGATGGCTATCTGGGAGGAATTGAAGAAACATCGTTTGATGTGCAAGAGGCTATCGACCACATTAAATTTCTTTTTCCACCTGCATGTTCGCTGAGGGTTGCAATGCAGTGGGTTATACTGTTCGTAACACGTAATGACGACGTTCAAAAAAAGGTAGGAAACTGCCACTTTTATCTCGATTGACCAAACATTACAAAATTCACCCCTAAGCCCCCGTTTAGTTATGTGCATCAATCGAATGTAAATACATGGTTATGTACATTTGTTATAAGATCCAAGAAGAGATTGACCAAGTTTTGACCGATGCTGATGAGGTGAATGATGAAGTTGTGACTAATAAGATGCCATATATCAACGCAGTGATCAAGGTACGTAAATTCGGCCGATCATCACCATCATTATCTGCATCCTATTCATCATATTACTACCAACCACTTCATTACTGCCAACCACCAACTACCAGTCTTGTACAGTATCTGTATTCTTTTGTTGAACCTTTCGGGAGTTTCAAAAATAACTACTGACCAATAAGGACGTGTTATTCAATAGCCGGGTTTAGGAATATGTATGTCCACACTCGAGTATATGTTACGCTTGCAGCCTGTCGTGTTGTGGGAACTTAAACAGAACATTATCCAATGGGTGGGGTTGAGCGAAACTGTAATTACTATGACAACCTTATCGGGATTATATTGAAATGCCTGTATCAAGTAGTAGACATACGCTCCTACTGGGGTTCTATTTTTTCCTTGCAGGAATCTCTACGACTAGCCACTCCAGTAGTTCAACTAATTCCACATTGTGCAATCAAGGATACGAACTTCAAGGGCTATGAAATCAAGAAAGATACCATTATTATTCCAAATCTTTGGGGACCAAATCATGATCCAGAAAACTGGGTGGATCCATTTGTTTTTAAACCCGATCGATGGTTGAACGTGGATAACTTACCACCAGGTTTTATGCCGTTTGGGTCAGGTAAGTGTAACCTATATAAATTACTGGCCTATATGTAATATATGTATGAAATGAATTGCCTTCAGTCGGATTCAAACTTCCAACGAAAGCCTCAAGGGGTCTGCATAGACAGCAGATAATTCCGGGTTTGAATTTCGGTTGGGACAATGTTTTTCGCACTCGCCGATTCCTGCTCTTTACCGTTATATAT